GGCGATCTTGGGGCGACCTTGGGGTCCAAGTTTACGCTGAGGCCACAGGTGCCAACCGGGGCTCGGTGCCAGTCGCGTGCCCGTGCCAGACCATCGTCGTGAGAAAAAAACGGGGACGGCAGCGTCCCATACGTACGCACATCTGAAGGGCCGCTCCCCCGCCCCTCCCAGCATGAGTTCCTCCGCGAGGCCCGCGCACCAGCTGCGTGCGAAGACGGCACCCCGATGGTCCGAGAGCGCCTCCGCTGGCTCAGGAGGCTCCAGGCTGCAGCACGCCCCAACAGAGCCCAAGAGAGCCCCAGGAGGTCCCGGGCATGTCCCGCCTCCCTCCCTCCCCAGCAGCAGCAGCAGCAGCAGCAGCAGCAGCAGCAGCAGCAGCAGCAGCAGCAGCCGAGCCAGCAGCCGAGAGCAAGCAACAAACAGACATCAGGTGGCTGGCGAAGAACGGTATACAAGATACTTTTCGCCCGCGGAATCAGCAAGAGGCAAGCGACATCAGCAAGAGGCACGCGGCAAGCAAGCCGTTTTGGCCCATGGATTGCGGGGCCCTGGCGGAGACGCACGGCGGCCCCGAGCGCCACGCGCGCGGCCCATGCGGCCGCAGACCTCCGCTGCGGGCCGCCGCCGGCCAGTGAACGTCGCCGACCGCCGCCGCAGCCCTCCCCTGAGATCTGTCGTCGCGACAACGCAGAGATCCAACGTATTGAAAACATGAAGACGGAGGTGTTTCGCCGTGATCGGCCTTTGGAGGCCCTCGCTGGGCTCCGAGGCCATCAGACAGCAATCCTGGGCGACAGTCCAGTCCCAGGGAGGGGGCCGAGACTTCAGGGACCCCGCAGTGGAACGACGAAAGCGTCGAATCTTGACCTGCACCCTCCGCACCCTGCGCGCGGAAGGTGCCACCGCGATGCGGCCGCGGCGGCCGCCGCGGCAGCGCGGCACCTGCCGTGCGGAAGGTGCGGAAGGTGCAGGTCGAGGGAGAATCGGAGTCGCGAAAAGGTGCACCCGTCGGTCGTTGAATGAAGGTATTTTTGGATATTCCTGGATTCCCCAATCCCAATCTACTTTGGCCTTCTTCCTACCTCGAGAGTCTAGCGTTCGTCTTCTTCTCTCCCCTTCAGGGGGTGGGCGGAGGCCCAATCTACCTCCGACGCCTTCCCACTTCATATCTCTGCCCACTTCTCCTGACCGACGGGCCACCTCCACCAAAAACCGCGACGAAAGCTGTGGACCCTATACTCCTGTGGCATTGGCATCTCGCGCCAGGGCGACTTCCGATGGTCCTGGGGCCCGAGGAGGAGGAGGAGGAGGAGGAGGAGGAGGAGGAGGAGGAGGAGGAGGAGGAGCAGGAGGATAAGGATGAGGAGGAGGCGGAGGAGGAGACCCGGCGTCGACGCCCGGCGAGAGGCCTCCGCGGCGCGTGGATCTCAGGGCCAGCGGCCTCCGAGCGCCGCCGATGGCCGCCGAGAGCCGCGGAGCGTCGCGGCCGCTGCGGGCGGCCGCCGCGGAGGGCTGCGGCGCGCGCGGGCGCGCGTGGCGCGGCGGCGGCGGCCGCCCGCGCGGGCGCCCGCGGCTCCTGGCGCTCGCGTCGGTCGCCGCCGCGCGCGCAGGGGCGCTGACCGCGGAGGTCGTCGCTGCCGCCGCCGCCGTCTCGAAGAACAGTCGACGGAGCGAGTCTCAGGACCGATGGATGGCCTCTGAGCCCAGACCCCCTCGCGTTGTGAGCAGAAGACGTAACGAGTGGCTTGTCGCTGTTTTCGGCCTCCGGGGGCCCCCTACCAGGCCTCGGGACCGTCAAACATCGATTCAGGATGAAAAGCCCGTTCCTGGGAAGGGGTCCAGACCTCTGGGGATCGACGCTGTGAAAAAATCGCGACGTCTGGGGTGCGAGTGTGGGCGAGTCCGAGTGCTGACGAGCGGGTCTGCAGAATTTGTCGGCATCGCTTCACCGATCCCCAGCTCTTCTGGGTCACGGCACCTCCGTCCCACCAGTCGACTCCAACCCTTCCTGTAGGGACAGGCCCCGCGAAAGCCGAAGGGAACACGATACGTACATCAAGGGAGGGAAAACCACCCGGACCCGACAATTGACGTTTGCTAAACGGCCTTGGGCGTTTACTAAACAGCCCTGCCCTGTTCGATTCCTTTCTTGGGCGCGTTTACTAAGCGGCTTCGTTTGTCGGGGTGGTTATTATGGGAATGGATGTTCTGCCCTCTAGTACGTATCTATTCATATATGATCCAGGGCTCCAGAAGACTCCCTTCTCATGCTATTGCCATCGGGCCCCTCACCTCCCCGCGCGATGGGTCTTCGTGACCCCGTGGGCGTGGCGTGGCGTGGCGTGGCGTGGCGTGGTCGTCGTCGCCGCCGCCGCCGCCGCCGCCGTCGTCGTCGTCGTCGTCGTCGTCGTCGTCGTCGTCGTCGTCGGTCACACCCCATCCCATGAGGCGGCGGGGGGCTGTGAACCATGGGGCCCATCCATCTCGGGCTGGGAGGCTGTGAACCCTCGACGCGGGATCCTATATCCAGCTGCCTGCGGCGAGCCCTGCCGTCGTGGCTGTGCAACAGCGCGTTAGGAGTGTAAGAATAGCTCAGTACCGACAAGTGGTAGAACGGGTCGTGAACTCGACCTCGTCTTCGTCCGTGCGGTGAAAAGGAGGTCAAGTTCACACCCCGCGGCAGTTCAGCGAGTGGTCTGAAATGGGTGGGTCGTGTTCGTCCGCGCGGTAGAGGGGGAGGGGAGGGGGAGGGGGAGGGGGAGGAGGAGGAGGAGGAGGAGGAGGAGGAGGAGGAGGAGGAGGAGGAGGAGGCGGAGGAGGAGGAGGAGGAGGAGGAGGAGGAGGAGGAGGGTGAGTAGGAGCGGGAGAAAATGAGGACGAGGAGGAGAAAGCTTCCTGATGCCCTCTTGGGGCCTCCTGGAGGCCTCGGTGCTTACTGGAGGCCTCTTGGGGGCCTTTCGCCTTCTCGGGCCTCTTGGGGCCTCTTGGGCCGTCTTATGGAGTGTGACGCCTTTGGATGCCGTCTCGGGGGCCTCTCTGGGCCGTCTTCGTGCCCTCTTGGAGCTCTCTAGGGCTGTCTTGGGGCCCTCTTGGGAGCTTCTTGGGCGATCTTTGCGTCCTCTTGGGCCGACTTGGGGCCCCCTTGGGGACCTTATAGGCTATCTTGGAGCTATCTTGGAGGCCTCTTGGGCCGTCTTGGGCGGTCGGAAGCCCAAACAGGCGAGAGCATCAATATCTTCCTCAGGCTCTCTTGGAGGGCCTCTTGGAGGGTCTCTTGGAGCCCTCTTGGACCGTCTTGGGAACCTCTAGAGCTGTCGTGAGGCCGTATTGGCAACCTCTTGAGCCGTCTTGGGCCATCTTGGCCCGTCTTGGTGTCATCTTGACTACGGAAGCCGTCCTGGAAGCTATCTTGCCTGTTTGGAGGCCGAGAATACCGCCTGAGAGCAATTTCAGAGGGGACGATTTTTTAAGTACACGTGTGCTGGGGGCGGGGGGCGGCCTTATTAGAACAAATCAGCAACCTTCCAGGCAGTAGTAAGCATTCTAACACACGCACTCCGTGCAAGCACGGTGGCGGATACCATCTAGGGGGGTAAATCGGTCAGTGGGGCCGAGGCCATGCCAGCGGGGATGGGGATCGCTTAAACGATGCTCATGAGCGAATCTGCGATAATGAAGAAGAGGGAAGCGACCAGGAGGAGGGTGAAGGCGACGAATCGGAGGCGTCTGAGTAGTAGCAAGAACTTCAGGCATAGACATAAGCTTTCGGAGCTCCGCGCCCATTTCTCGGATCGGCGCTGGGGCCCCCCTGGCACCTCCGAGAGTTTCTGTATATGCAGTCTTCTCTTGTAGAAGCTCGTCGTTGCCTGCTGCCGCCGCCGTCGTCGTTGCCGTCGTCCTCGAGTCGGCCCTCGAGGATCGAGCTTCGAGGATCGCGCTCTTCTAGATTTTTCTGTCTGCGTCTGGTTGCTATGTATTTTCGGGTAGGGGATCGACTGCAGAATTGATATACCCCAGAAGTCATTTCCTCGTCGAATCTACAAGAAGATGTAGCATTTTGTCAAGGATCCAGCGGCAAAAACCAAGTCTGGGGTAGCTCGATCTTTGGAGCCCCCCGAGGCCTCTGGAGGCCCCCTCCGGGGCCGTCGTCGTCGCCAGCGCGGGCGCCGCCCCGCCGCGGAGGTGGGCCTGCCCGCCTCCTTGCTGGACGTCTTCAACTCCTCCTCGGGCGCTGGCAGGCGTGGTCCCGGCCCGAGGCGCCCCCCCCCGGGGCGGCCGCCCGGGGCGGGCGCTCCCGAGAGGGCCTCGCCATCGGGGCGCGCCTGGCCCTCGGCGAGGGCGCTGGCCCGCGCTGGTCGTCGTCGTCGTCGTCGTCGTCGTCGTCGTCGTCGTCGTCCTCGTCGTCGTCGTCTTTGTCGTCGTCTTTGTCGTCGTCTTTGTCGTCGTCGTCGTCGTCGTCGTTGTCGTCGTCGTCGTCGTCGTCGTCGTCGTCGTCGTCGTCGTTTTGGTCGTCGTCGTTTTGGTCGTCGTCGTTTTGGTCGTCGTCGTCGTCGTCGTCGTCGTCGTCGTGGGCAGAGGTAGAACGGCGGCGGGCCCGTCAGCGGAAGCCCGCGGAGGTAGAAGTGAGGCGCCGACAGATGTGGGTTCAGGGTTCCCAGACCCCCTCGCGTGGTGAAAGAAGCGTTACGGGAAGCTTTTCGCTATTTTTGGCTTCCGCGGGCCATTACTGGGCCTCGGGACCGTCAAAAAATGGTACAGGATGAAAAACCGGTCCCGAGGAAGGGGTCCAGACCTTTGGGGGTTGACGCTGTGACAAAATCACGACGTCGGAGGTCTGGGTTTGCGGAGTCGGCCAAATTCGGCTAGCGCAGAGGGGGAGGGGAGGGTGAGGGCTTCTTAGAAGGCACTCCTGCTTCTTGGAAGGCGCGGGCCTTGTCTGTAGATGTGAGGCCGGCGCCTTCTAAGAAACAGCCTCCTTCCACGAAGTCTTTCCCCCCTCCCCCTACCCCCTTTTGCGCGCCGCCAACAGATAGTCGCATGCTGTGCCCAGAGTGGTCTCTCGAGGCCGCCCCCCAAAAATGTGGAAGCTGGGGATGCTTTGGGCCAGAGACACTCTTTCAACACCCGAGCCTCCCTCCACGCGCGCTTCTTCATCCTGCAGCCACCAGCGTACTTGTTGCGCGTGCGCGGCATGGATATGAGGTGCCAGTATTTCGGGCACATGTACAGCTTTGAGTGGATGTACACCGACTTCTTCGACATGAACCCGCAATTTCTAGCTGACAGCGCGGAGGAAGCTGACTTTGTCGTCGTCGCACACTGCGTCACTTACGTTTATCACGTGCTGCGCTACGGCGCTGGCTTCAACACTGTGGCGCTCACGTGGGAGGCGCTGCGGATAGCCCAGGAGGAGTATTTACTCCCCATAATTGAGTGGGCGAAGGGGACCGAGGCGCACCAGCGATCTGGCGGCAGGAACTTTGTGCTGGTCCTGGCCATGGACAAGGGTCGCGTCGACTACCCGCTCGTGTCGCACGCCACCCGCGACTGGCACGCCATTACTACCGTGGGTAACGGCACGACATGGCTGCAGACACACACGCCGTGGTTGGTCCAGGATGCTTCCGTGTACGGTGCCGCCGAAGACGTATGCAGCAACAGCACTAGTACTTCCAAGAGACCCCTCGTCTTCTACGACCAGGACGTGGTGGTTCCAGTGCCGACAGCATTCCACTGGGGGGAGCTTGCAGAGGAGACGAGCGGAAGAGGTCTTTTAGTCTTCTACGCAGGGTCCCCGAACAGCTGCCTCAGGCGCTTGGTGGCCTCCGAGCTCGCGGGCTCTGCGGACCCCGAGGTCCTGGTCCTGGCGAAGCCCATGCCGAGGAGTGCGTGGAGCAGCCTGCTCTACCGCGCGCGCTTCTGCCTGGTCCCCGACGGCTTCTCCTCCATCTCGGCCCGCCTCTACGAGGTGCTGCTCCACGGCTGCGTGCCCGTCGTCCTGAGCCACGCGTTCCATCCCCCCTTCGAGTCGTTCTTGGACTCGGAGGGAGAGGGGGAGGACGAGGAGGGGGAGGAGGAGGAGGAGGAGGAGGATGAGAATTAGGAATAGGAAGAGGAGGAGGAGGAGGAGGAGGAGGAGGAGGAGGAGGAGGAGGAGGAGAAGAGTAGGAGGCGGAAGAGGAGGATGAGGAGGAGGTGGAGCAGAAGGAGAGGAGAAAGAGGAGGATTAGCACTTGATCACAGCCAAAAAGGCCAAGCACACGTGTTACGGCTACGGGCCAGGAGGAACATGAGGAACAACATTAATAATATTAGTAGTAATAATATTATTAATACTACGAAGAATAATGATACAAGTGAGAAGCATCAGCAGACGCAGACGACCAACAACCATAGTAATAATAACAGTCACATTCGTAACACGAATTTTTATAATACTAGGATTCGGAGGAGGAGGGCGCAAGTTTTCCCCATTTCCAAAGGATGGGGTCTTGTTATTCCCCATATCCAAAGGATGGGGTTCTTGTTATTAAACCGACCGCGCCAGCTCCTTCACTCACTCCTCCGTAACCTGCTATGTTATGCTATGCTATGTCATGGTATGTTGTGCTATGGTATGGTATGATGGTATGGTGTGATATGCTATGTGCTACACTGGTATGCCATGTTATGCTATGCTAGGTTTAAGTATTGTGTGTTGTGTTTTGGTACGTTAAGGCATTTTGCTATGCTATGAAATGCTATGTTGATAACAGTGATGATCGTACTAATGATGCTGCTGCTGATGATGATGACGCTGCTGCTGCTGATGCTGCTGCTGCTGATGGTGATGATGGTGGTGGTGATGATGATGATTATGATGATGATGATGATGATGATGATGATGATGATGATGCTGATGCTGATGCTGATGCTGATGATGATGATGATGATGATGATGATGATGATGATGATGATGATGATGATGATGATGATGATGATGGCGGAGCAATTTCTGCACCTCCAAGGGGAAGCCGCCAGGGGGTATTGCACTCCTCCGTTCCCGCCAAAATGGCGGGGATGTCTCAAGCGGTTTGCCTGTTTCCTGCCGCAACATTCTCTGCTTTCGGAGCATATTTGGAGGATGTCTCGAGCGAGGCGCTCATTTTCGCTCCCAAGTGGGGCCAGAATTTGAGGATGTCTCGATCGGTTTGTCTGTGCTGGTGACCAGACTCGTGGGCGACGGATCCTCTTCAGGATGCCACATGAGGCTCCAGCAGGCTCCAGAAGGTACCAGGAGGCAACAGGAGGTCCCAGGATGCATCAGAAGGCCACAGGAAGACTCAAGATGCCCAAGGATGCGCCAAGAGGCTCCAGGAGGCCCCAGGAAGCTCCCGAAGGCCGCAAGAGGCTCCAGGATGCTCCAGGAGGCCACAGGAGGCCCCAGGAGTCCCCAGAAGGCCACAGGAAGCGCCGGGAGGCACCAGGAAGCCCCGGAGGCACCAGGAGGCCCCAAGAGGCCCCAAGAGGCCCCCGGAGCAGGAGGCCTCAGAAGGGCTCAGGAGCGGCTCCAATCCCATGTGTTGTACGTATGCTTCTATAGATTGGGCCTCCCCTGGGGCACGAATCCTTTGTGTTTTACGTGTGTTCCTATATATTGACCTTCTCTTGCGGCTTTAATCCGCAGTGCTTTTTGTAAGTCAGTTCCTATAGATTGGGCCTCTCCTGAGGCACGAATCCTCCTCAGGATGCCCCAGGAGGCTCCAGGAAGCCCCAAGAGGCCCCAGGAGGCGACACGAGGCCCCAGGAGGCTTCAGGAAGCCCCAGGAGGTTTCAGGAGGTCCCAGGAGGCCCCAGACTCATGCGCAGAGACGTGCTAATACTAGTGAGATTCATTCACGCTGCAACTCATTCCCATGTAGATGCGCTCCCAGACCGTCGATACACAAGCCCGCGTGTATTCGACAAACTCTTGCGCCTCGCTGGTCACGGCGGACAGGTCCATGCTGATAGGTGCACACAGGGGTGAACCTAAACGGTGTTTTGGCGATTTCGTGGACCGTTTTCGTTTCGACTTTGTTTTGCTGTAAAGGCGGATTGAAAACAAAAAGATGGAAAACGAAATCAAAACGAAAACGAAAAACACCGTTTAGGTTGAGCCCTAGAGCACACGTGGGGAGCTCCGCGCAGTGAATCATTCCCTTCTCCATCGGCAGCGCTGGCGAACGCCAGCGCGCCGGCAGGCAGGCGGGCCGGGCCCGACCGCGGCGGGCTTGCGCTGCACGCCGACCTCCGCTCCCGGGAGCGGTGCACGCCTTCCTGGAGGCCCTGGCGTTGCAGCTTTTTCGCGGCGGACGTTCTCGCTCGATTTCGGGCCCCGGGAGCCTCACAGGTCGATGCGGCTCGAAGAAGGACGCAGACAGACGGGTTCCAGGGCTCCGGCCGCGAAATTTTTGCGATTCCGCGACTTTTTTGCAACGTCGGATCTCAGGGCATGCGCCGATGCCGGGCTCAGGATCGGCCCTTGCCAGGGTGCGGGCGCAAAGTTGGCGTCCCCGCAGGACTGGCGGCGCATCGCCGTGTTCGTCAGGCGAACGGAGATAGCCCACCTGCCCGCTATGCTGCGTTCCATCGGCGACGAGCGGTACAGGGACATGCACGCGGCCGTCGTGCGCGCCAGGCGCCTGCTCGGGCCGCACGACACGCCGTTCTGGCTGGCCACGAACGTGGAGCTGCAGCGGCGCGCTCGGACGCTCTGAGGAGGCCGGCGACTCCGGCGAGCCACGAACGTGGAGCTGCAGCTGCGTGCGCGGACGCTCTGAGGAGGCTGGCGACGCAGGCGAACCAGGGCCGACAAGGCGCTTTCCTCCTGCGCCTGCTAATTTTTTTCAGCCTCGTGGGGGCCAGGAAAAAGCGAGCTCAACTCCTTGGATCTTCCGTGTTCGGCAATTATTGCATCCTTGAATTTTCGGTGGTAATCCCTTTTTTGGGAATTCTTCACCCCAACCAGTCTGTTTCTCATTCCCCGCATCCTGAGTGGGGTTCATGTTCCCCACATCCTGAGTGGGGTTTTTTGTTTTCCTAGAACACCCTCTCCTTCTCCTTGTCCCCCTCCCTCCTCCTTGCTGCGAAGCTGCTGCTGCTACGACTATTGTTATTCCCCACATGTTTCGTGGGGTTCTGGTTTTCTTCCCTGCCGCGGCGCACCCGCGTCTCACCCCACCTCACACCTCATCTCCTCTCTCCTCCTTCCTCTCCTCACCCGCGCTCAACGCGTGCACGGCAATTACATGAGACACGCGTCTACATACGGCCGCGCGCATGCACACACTCGCACACAACACACACACACCATACAACGCTAGTGCGCGCCTGGCGTGATCACTGCAGCGTCCATTGAGGCGTGTGCGCGACATAGTGGGCACCCACATGAGACACGTCCCGATATAGCCGCACACGCATCATACAAATACACATACCATGCCATATACAAGACGTGCGTGTAGGATTCGCAGTGGATGGCAGGAGGCTCTATGCAGGCCATGGCGCAGGGCACGGCAGGCGTGGCACTTTCTCGACACCACAGGGGGTGCGCAGGGGGTGGTCTCTCACCGCGGTCTCTATACGCGCCAATGTCGCAGGGCCTAGCAGGCGTGGCACTTTCTCGACACCGGAGGGGGTGCGCAGGGGGTGGTCTCTCACCGCGGTCCCTATACGCGCCAATGTCGCAGGGCCTAGCAGGCGTGGCACTTTCTCGACACCAGAGGGGGTGCGCAGGGGGTGGTCTCTCACCGCGGTCTCTATACGCGCCAATGTCGCAGGGCCTAGCAGGCGTGGCACTTTCTCGACACCGGAGGGGGTGCGCAGGGGGTGGTCTCTCACCGCGGTCCCTATACGCGCCAATGTCGCAGGGCCTAGCAGGCGTGGCACTTTCTCGACACCGGAGGGGGTGCGCAGGGGGTGGTCTCTCACCGCGGTCCCTATACGCGCCAATGTCGCAGGCCTAGCAGGCGTGGCACTTTCTCGACACCAGAGGGGGTGCGCAGGGGGTGGTCTCTCACCGCGGTCTCTATACGCGCCAATGTCGCAGGGCCTAGCAGGCGTGGCACTTTCTCGACACCGGAGGGGGTGCGCAGGGGGTGGTCTCTCACCGCGGTCTCTATACGCGCCAATGTCGCAGGGCCTAGCAGGCGTGGCACTTTCTCGACACCGGAGGGGGTGCGCAGGGGGTGGTCTCTCACCGCGGTCCCTATACGCGCCAATGTCGCAGGGCCTAGCAGGCGTGGCACTTTCTCGACACCGGAGGGGGTGCGCAGGGGGTGGTCTCTCACCGCGGTCCCTATACGCGCCAAT